TAATTTACTCCGCGTAAACAAGTGAATTATCGTAAGTTACTACAGAAATAACGCTCGCGTAAACGTAGTACACACACTCTTGTACTACAAGCTAAGTACGCTTCGACGAATTTAACAATTGAAAAAAAGTGTCCAATTCAATGTGTCACGTGGATTGTACGGCCAATCCCAGACCATTCGTTCTTGAAACGCTTTAACGAAATTTGCATCGGCTTCAACTGGCCTGTTGTTTATTTTATCTCGAGTTTCATATTTGGTTTGTTTCGTATTAAAATTATAAACGTAATACTCTCTGGTCTTTCGGCTAATATGACGTGCCCATGGAAAAGCAATACTTCGGAGAAACATCACACTGTTAAATGCCGCGTACACAGGTTTCTTGGCATCAGTCTCGTTGTCGTATTCCATCGGACTCTTTGCTAATTCCTGTACAGAAGCGGGCAGCTTCTGTGAAACTTGCCATTTCTTGCATACATCTGGTGTTAGCAAGAATTTCTTTTTAGCACGAATGCAAATATAATCGTTCGGAGCTGGCTTCCATAGCGCGTCGCAAAATTTCTTCGTGAGGTCATACCTGAAATATCAAATATTACACATCAAAATATTAGTTATAAATAGTACATGTTTATTCACAGTAATTAAACTTATATTCATCTATTTAAGTTTAAATCAATCTACTCGACGGTATGTTATATTTATATCTTTAACAGATATTTACATTTGCTATAATTCAATGTATAAGAACTATACAAATTATATTGCAATATTATTCGTTGATACGGGTAATTTTGGAGAAACTCCAAATGTTACGTGTTACTTATTTAATTTGATCTGTGTTTAATTAATTTCAATATTTCTAAGTAATGTATGCATAAGAATATACCAATAGTTAATATATTGCAATATCATTATTATATAAATCGCGTTACTAACATTTTATAATTTTCTAAACTATATTTGACGAAACAAAAGAAAGATGTACTTACCTATAGGATATGTATAGCTTGCTTATGTCTTCTCCACCGAGCATATAAGCATCCAAAATGTGTAATGCGAGTGTATTTTCCATCAGCTTAAATTCGTGTACCAGTTCAGCATATACAAGTGTGTTGGACGGTAATTCGATCTTTACGTCTGTTACCGATTCCCATTTACCTCTTACATATCGGTACACTCTTCTTCTTCCTAGACCTAAATAAAACGTTGGCAATTTATTTTCTTCGATGTTCGGGCCTGAAGCGCACAGCATGTAATACCAATCATATGGTTCGCCCGTTCTTAATAGAGTTCTTTGTACGTTGTCGTTCTTCAATTTCTTTGCGTCGCAACTGAGTAACGTTATGGAGTCACCCAATATCTCCTGTACCTTGTCTTGCGGCTTTGATACTAAGGGCCTTACTCTGGTTTTGTTCGGCAAGTTCCAATACTTGAGGCACTCCTTCCGCATATCTGCTTGCTTAGGCTCATTCAGTGTCGGATCTTCGCAAAATGCCGCAATTTTTAGAAGATTTACTATCTGTTTCTTCCCCAAAATATCGTTGGAATTTCTCAGGTATCTGATAAACTCCGTGTCCGCTTCTAATACGTCGAGAGGTACCAGTTCAATTACGTCGTTGTGCTCGTTGTTCATCGAAAGCAAGTGATTAACGTGAGAGAGATAATCCATTATCGTTTGTGTATCAACTCTTTTCCTTCTACATATTAAATAACGTTCCGAATTAGCTGGTCTGGAGCTATTGGGCTTGAAAATGGAAATACTGTCGAAAGACTTGTACATCAGATAGACAAGCCCAACGCTAAAAGGTGTAAACAAATCGAACAACTTTGTAACGAAATCTCCTCCTGGTCTCACTATCATCAGTGCCACTAGACAATGACATAGATATAATTGCTTCGATAGAATCTCCTGTATATTTTCTCGACCTTCCACCAAGAATCTTCCGTCAGACATCATAAAATGTACGCCTTTACCATTGGTATGTTTCATCACAAGCTTCCTAAAGTCCTCTTGATTCTGCGCGTCAAATACATCTCCGTTGCCTTTGGAGCCATAAAACGGATGGAAAGTCTCGCACGGACCAGCAAAGAACTTGTCCAATGTAAAATCATTTTTATTTTGCAAAGTAAATCCAAATCCTTTGGCATGCCACTTCTTCCTAGACAGAACGTATTCGCTGAAGCCACCCGGCCCAGCACACACATCCGCGAAGTACAGCAACTCGTTGGGATGTAAATTCTTCCGACACGTGAACATAAAGTCGCACGCTCCGTCTATGTTCGCCATCTTGACAGCCGCGCGATTCAAAAACTTGACAGTACCTATCGTTTCGTACGGATTTGAACGAGTTCTTGCTTTACGCATCTCCACCTTATCCAATTTGTCAAATATGATTTTAGATCTAATGATCTGCTTTAAAATCTCTGGATTGCAAAACATGGTCTCGTCGTCTATACTGGACTTTTTCGGTCCCAACTTTATCCATTTCAACAGTTCTTCAGCTAGGAGCGTATCGAAACCTACGTTTCGCAACCATTCGATATCTTCTATAGCCTTTATCTTTTCTTCTTCGGGATTCCACTTGAGACTCGCTTCCTTGAGATCTGGCACGCAATGTCCAAATCCTCTTCGATCGTATTGTGTAACTGGTTTTATTGGTTCTGCATGACCTTGGTCATCCTTTCCTAGACCTTTATCTGGCGTGTATCCAATTTTTTTCATCATCCGCTGTACCTTCTGGGATACATCTACTGCTTCATCTTCTCCAATATATTTTTCTTTCAAAGGTACATCAGTGCTGAACGCTTCTCCGCTATTCAGTTTCATCTTTTTATTCGACTGTTCATGAAAAACATCGAAGAGTCCATTCTGCTTTTTGGATTCTTCCACATCGTCGAGCAAGTAGCCAAATTTGTCCAAAGGATCATATTCATACCCGGAATCTTTACTAACGTCACTTGCGTCATTCTGCTGTAAATGCAATGTTCCCGATTGAATAGTGTCATCGGAACTTGTATCGGAATTTGTACCTAAAAAACAATAATCTAATTATAGAATCTGTTCTTGGAATTAAAAAGATATATAAAAAGAAAAAAGAGAAAAAAGTGAAGATGATACGTACTATGCATGTCGTCTGTAGACATTTTTAACGTTTGCAAAACGTAAAGCGTAAACGTTTTCTGACCACGTTTTCTATTTCTCAACCTGTAAAGTAAAAAGCGCCCATTAGAGATAACTATTAAAGAAAAATTAATATAAAAATATAATCGTAATTTTATATTTTAGTCAAATTTATAGATTACGGAATGAAAAATACACTTTGTGACGCCAAAAAAAACCGTTGAAAACTTTTATGGTGCTTATATACATGTCTGTTTAAAAGTATTATTTTTATTAATGTACATTTTAAAGATAAATGTGTCTGCTGAGATATAAACAGTAATAAAATCTATCGCAATATGTTATTCGGCTGTAATTTATTCACATGGCTCTAAAATTTTTTTCTTTTATAAATGTCTCTCTGTTTCAATTCACAACACGACGTACAGTACGGCCAAAGTTACGGCAATGGTACACGGAAAAACATGAGGTGCAAGCCACCACAATCAAGAATCGAAAACATAAGAGCATCATTTCAAAATTCTCCGCTGCGATTAGCTGGTACGTTTGTCGATGTTTTTCGCGTGCTACAAACTTTACATTGAAGCGAAAAGAAGATATAACAAACGCCAACGGTAACAAACTCATTAAATCAGACACTGATAATGGAGTAAGGGAGATAGGAAATTTACTCCATTTCTTAGAATTTATATACACTTCTCACAAAAATTAAAAAAACACTAAATTTTTTTTTTTAAATAGGCAAAATTCAAGCAGCTGTAACTTTGTTAAAAATGAACAAAATTTAAATTTAAAAAAAGGATTTTAAAGCTTGAAATCTCTACTTTCGAAAGGTTATTATTATTTTTTAGTTTCTGTGAGTTTGGTAATTTTTACATATAGAAAACTACGAGCTGGACAAAATAGAAAATGTTTCTCTCACTTTGTGGGCCTGTCACGTGCACAAAAAAAATCTGCAAAAATTTTTGATTTCCTAACGTAAAAGCTTAAAGTTTTCCTTGCAAAATCTTTTTTTAAAAATGTTTCTCCAATTTTTTGTTACTGAATTATCGCAGATTGAATAAGAAATAAGCATTTTGACTTTAATTGTTGTAACTCCCTTAAAAATTATTGTACCGCAATTCAAAAAAACAGATTCTTAAAGCTGAAACTTTGCTCTATTTAACGGTATAATTGCCAAATTTTTTCAAATAATATGTAGACATGATACAAATGGATTAAAAAAATTTAAAAATTAGCGATTTTTCCCTATTTCATTTTGACCCAAAAAAACAATTGTGCAGCACGACAACACAAATTTATATTTTTTTGTTTTTTTCTTTTTGTACTTTTAAGTATCCTGCATTTAAAAAAAATTTGCCAAATTAACTTTTCGATGACTTTATATTTTTGTATGTAAAATAATAAAAGAAATTGATTTATGTAAAAAAAATTATTTGATTGTATTTTGTAAAAATATATTTAATTTTGCATAATTGCAAAATGTAAAAATTAATATTATGATTCGATTCTTTTCATTATTTTATGTAAAAAAATATTAAGGTAAAGTCATCAAAAAATGAATATTATACGAGATATTTCATATTTTATATTAATAGTAGCATAACAAAATTTAAAATATCTCAAGAAGTTCTTAATGAAAGAGAGCTTCATTATAGTGTTTTGAAAACGTCTCGACAAGGGCTACAAGAATTTGTAATAAAAAATGGGGGTTCCATTTAAAAAAACTTTGATCACATTGACTTGACCTTGAAAAGGTCATTCGAGGTCAAGTCCAAATTTTCATCATCAGCCCCCTGTATATCCTACAACTTTTATCTGAAACATTTTTCCATATCTAAAGCCGTTTCCGAGATCCAGGGCGCTGGGTCAGACTTTAGAGATACCCCGTATAAAGCACCGACCACCGACACATAAAAATTTACAAATATAAATTCATTTTTAGACAAATTTAGACTACTTATGCATTTTAATTACATATTTGATGTTGTTCAGCAAGAGAGCAACGTAGATATGGTGGTACAAAATATTTCTGACTGAACTGTGAAAACTACGTTTAGGTTAGGTTAGGTTGTAACCGGAAATAAGATCTGTGCTTTGAATAATCTTCAAAAATGTACTCACTCGTACGTTAAAACGGTCGTTTAAAAACGATTTCGTCAGACGTTTAAAAACAATTTCGAGATGTTTAATATGCTCCTTTAATGAATTTGACGCTATCATCACGTCATCTAAATAGACAATTTCAAAGTCGAAACAGTCATCACCAAATGCGTCTCGCATAGCTCTTGTAAAGCTAGCTCCTGCCGTTTTCAATCCGAACGGTAATCTCTTAAATATGTATGTTTGACCATCAAACAAAAATCCTGCATACTTCATTGACTCAGGACTTAATGAAATTTTCCAAAAGTCTTGCGAAATATCCAAAGTGGTAAAATACTTTTTCCTTCCAATCCGTCGAAATACCTCTTCAATATTTAGTGGTTGTGCATGGTCGTTTGCCATCCTTTTGTTTATTTTTCTAGCATCTAAACAGAGTCTGATGTCTCCATTCTTTTTAATAACCACAACTAAAGGATTAATGTACTGCGTAGCAGCACGTTCAATAATGCCTTTCTCTTCGAGCTCCTTCATATATTCTCTTACTCTAGGTAAATCTGGTAAATGTTTCTCTGAAATCGGATAAGATTTCTTCTTAAATGGTTTGTCCTCTTTGAAGTTAATCTTGTGTTTATAATGCGACACTCTTCCAATTGTGCCATCAAATAAGTCTTTGTTTTCTTCTATCAACTTAGCCAATCTTTCAATTGCGTCTTCCAGCGTCATTGCGCCGATTATTGCGTCAGTTTTCACATCTTCTTCCTTGTCCATCTCAGTAAATTGAATCTTGAGCTTCCCGTCGCATTGCATTGTCATCTTGTGTTTTATGAGAAAATCTGTCCCCAAAATGACCTAATATGCTAATTTTGAAACGACATGGAACTCATGCGTAAATCGTTGGCCTTCGTACTCTAAAGTGATCTTGGCCTTGTACGCTACTATTGCTCCTCTTTTGCTGAACGCTCCCTTCAGTATAAATTTGCGAATCGGCAACGTATCTTGCACCGATCTATTGGCTTTAAGTTGTTCGTACACGGATTGCGATACTGCTGTAATCTGCGCACCGGTATCTACTAACGCTCTTGCTTTTACGTCTTTAAATGAAACTGTGATCAATGATGATTTTACATCTCTCACATTTTTTTCTTGTTCATTTAACATGTCGTCATTAATATTTTTAATGATTTCGGACGTTTTTAATATGTTTAGACATATGTAGTCTTTATTTATCTTAATTGCGTAGTCCGCTCTCGAATCTACGTCTTTCTTCGCTTTAAGTGCGTAATTTTCATCAATCGCTTCGTTCTTTTCAGAAACTGCGTAGTTTTCTTCAATCGCATCCCTGTTCTTGGAAATTGAGTAGTTTTCTTCAATCGCATCCCTCTTCTTGGAAACTGCGTTGTTTGCTTGAATTTCATCATCTGGTGACGTATCATGTACTATCACTCTTCTTGCTTCAATGACAGATACTCTCTTCTGTTTTGGTTGCATATCGGTTTTTCGATCGCGTTTCTCCACTTGCTTCGCATTCCGGTTTTTCGCCTTATCGTCATCCTCATCGCTAGATGGAAATTCAACTATCGGCTTCTTATCTTTACGCTTATTTGGATTATGCCTCAACTGCGTATTATATCGGGATTGTTGAAATCGACTTTTATTCACGATATCTCCGACCTACTCACGCCTATTATAACGTTGATTCGCATATCCATCTGTTATCGCTAATCTCGGTTGAAATTGCTTAACTGCGTAATTATTTGATTTAAAAGAAACTACTGCGTAGTTATTATGTAACTGACCGGATGCTACTTTATTATCAACCACTAATGGCGATTTTACTAAATTAGACGTATTTGCGTCGTTGCGCCGTTTGTCTCCCTTACAGAAAAGTATTACTGACTAAATACTTAAAATCTCAGTGATTTAATACTGGCAATATTTATTTGGGAAATACTGGGAAAATACTGGTAGTGATAAATATTATAGGTAGTGATTAATACTACACAGAACTACTGGTGCTTAGTATTGAATTACTCACCGATATTTCGATTTCCGATATTTACCCGGCATAAAAAAAAATTTTTTTTTTTCGAAATTTTATTATTATTTTATAACTAAATTTGTTTCTTAAGATGCAGTCTATAATTATAAATATTTTCTCGTATTTGAAAAACACACTTACCTTGGTGGGATCGAACTCGGGACCTCTGGATCGTGAGCCAACTGCCTTACGTGGTAGACTACTTCTTAATTTGATGTAAGTGTTATATATAGTCTACATGTGTCATAACCAGCGCAAATATATAATTTTTCAAAAATCATCTTAAGAAACAAATACAGTTTAAAAAGAGTAATAAAATTTTGAATTGGATATTAAAATGATATTCTCAGTACTATTTCAAAACTTGTACACTTTTATCACGATGAATTAGTACAAACCTTCATATAAAATGTATTTGTGCCTTACTTTTATCTCTTTTCCTTAATATTATCAGGAATTACCCATTATA